CCTACCTCTTCCTCCTATCCTCATCCTAACTGAAAGCCTTTTAGCTACATCAGCATTGAGAGGATCATGAAGGAGGTTTCGAGAAACACAGGCTTCCGGTATCAGTTTGCAACAGTGTGTCTTCTGTAAACAAATCAATATAAGTTGGACCTGGGATAGAATAGGATATGATGCTAGAAAATCCTCCTGTTGCTGTGTGTGTCTGCCTACAACAGGAAAGGTAAACAGCATCTTCCTCAGACATCCTTACTGAACATGTGTGAACAGCGAAACAGAGAGAAAGGGTGAATGCAGATAAACTTGCATCATGAGCTACTCCCCTACCCAACATGGAGAAAATGCAGAGATCTAAAAATGTAAATCATAAGAAAAATAGAGGCTGGTGAGAGAAGAATAAAATCATTCTTGAATACTCTTTGGAAGAAGCTTTCAGGTGGTCTTTAGAAGGTTCAACATGTTTTTCTTTAGTTACGTAAGGCTTACTTGACCTGGGCTTTGTTTTGTTTTTTCATTTCACATGTGTATATTTTTAGTTTTAGATGAAATGTTTGCTGAAATATGTTGAACTACTCTTTTTATTTTTTAATTCTTTTTGCAATAATGCAAGAACCTATCCCTATTCTTTCCATGTCTGCCTCTGGTACCGAAGTTTCTGTTCAAGAAGCAATACCCAGTAAACTACTTTGTTAACAGATATATATGGCTGCATCCACACTGCAGAAGTTTGACACCACTTTAACCGCCGTGGCTCATGCCATGCTATGGAATCCTGGGATTTGTTGTTTGTTGAGGCATCAGGGTTTTTTGACAGAGAAGGCTAAAGTGGTATCAAACTGCATTATTTCTGCAGTGTGGATGCAACCATATATGTAAAGGAAGAAGCTTACCACTATTAAAATGTTTTCCTCAACTTTGTTGTTGTCTTCAAGTTGTTTCTGACTTATGGTGACCCTAAACTGAACCTATCACAGGATTTTCTTAGCAAGATTTGTTCGGACAGGGTTTGCCTTTTCCTTCATCTGAGGCTGAGGGGATTTGACTTGCCAAGATCACCTTGTAGGTTTCCATGGCTGAACAGGGATTCAAACCCTGATCTCCAGAGTTGTAGTCCAGCACTCAAACCACAACACCATGCATCTCTACGAGCAAAGACATATAGAGATGGGGCCACCTAAATCTCATATAGCAAGACGTGCCATAATGCTGATACAGCCACTGAAACTTACAAAATGAACCAGCAATCTTTACCCTAGTTATGAATAGAGTAATAAAAAAATAGAGTAATTTATGTTATACGGATAACATAATCCATATGTTATCATACGGATGATAACAGCATCCGTTGTTGAAAGTTATATGAATTTATCATTCCCACACTCTCATTTTAAAACCCATGACAATTTTTTTAAAGTCAAATGTAACTCTTCAAACAAATTGACTTAGAAATGTAATTAAACAAAGCATTACAATACCATCTGTTCCTAGAAGATCACAACAAATGCACAATTTGAAATCTGAACCAGAATTCAGAAGAAAAAAAGTCTTCCTCAGAGTACTCTGACAATCTTCCAATTTCTTTTTTCCCATGACACTTCTGTTAGAGGGCAAGTTACATTAGATCCATGTTGACCTTCTCTTTGCCATTAGGCTAACGACAATTCCAGAAATAAGCTCAGTTATTGTATTCCTCACACATTATAAGTTTTCAGTTGTAGCATACTGGGAAAGACCATTTTCTTTCAGCCTCTAAATGGACAAAGATTACCAATTAATGTGGCAACAACAACAAAATATCCTTGATGTATTAATATATTATTTTTGGACAGAAAATCCCCCTAAAGTAGTTTACAATAAAATATCATATGTAAAACAAACTATTCACTAACAAAAAATGAAAAGAAAAAATCAGAAATGCTTCCATTATAGATCAGCAACTAACTGAAAACCAATTCAATTAACCAGGATTTAAGGATTTATTCAAAAGCAGTCAATGAAGGAGCCAAACATACTTCCTGAGGAAGGAATTCCACAGTGAAGTGATAACCATTGGGAAAAAAAAAACCATCCTAAAGGATCTTACTGGAGGGACAGTGGATCCATAGCCAATTGTCACTGTCATTTTTAGCAGTACATCAGTAGCAAAATAATTTATTAGAAGAAATCAAAAATGTACAAAACAGCCAACGCATGGCTATTTTTTAAGTATTTGACTCATCACCTGTTTGTTAAAATATCTGTGTGTTGCCTTATAGTCAGATAATAGGGCAATAGAAAAGCTTTATAAAATACAAAACAATGTAGAAACAATCCAGAGTAATGTACATTGTACACTAAAAGAGAATCAAGTTATAGTCACCGGGCCTCAAAAGGTTTGGTGAAGAACCAAAATTTAACCTAGTCCCATGGTGAGACCAATGTCCTTTTTTATTTACATAAAATTAGATAGGTAAATATTTTTACAACTATAAAGAAAAAAACCTCTGCAATATTTCTAATGCGCAGATGGGATCCATAGCGGGAGAAATCTGTTCAAGTATACATAATAAATACACCCCACATACTGGTAAACTTATTTGCTGTTATTAATACTTTGCAAGATTGAATTTGCAGGTTAATTTCTCCATTAGTGCTATTGTCCATACTCTTATCAACCCATTTTGAGAGAGAAATTCCATTTAATGTTTTTCAGTGTTTAGCAATCTCAAGCTGTGCCACTGTTAGCAAAAATTACATTAAGTCTTTATGCCACAGATTTTTATTCCCTCTCATGAACATGGAGAGCAGAAAGCAGGCTGTGTAAAAATATTATTTGTTATTCTAGATATAAATTTCTTATTCTAGATATAAATACTTCCTCCCAGAATTTTTCAACCAGAGGATATTAGAGCCAGGTTTGCCCCAGTCCTTCCAACAACCATGGCTGAAGTGATATTAATTTTGGAAAATTTATATGTAGTCAAATGTCAATGGTGCATCAGTTTTAAGGCTCTGTTCCCTATGAGGTGTTGAATGTAAAAGGCCTGGGCACTCAAATAATCCAGTCAGCATCAGTGAATACTCAAATTTAACTCTGAATCCTACCATATTTTAAGAGCCTTTGATACACTGTAAGAAGCATCTTGCAACCATCTGTATATTCTAGACACAATCCCCTTAGCTATAAAATTTGAAGAGATACACAACTCTTCAAAACCAGCAATTGTTTGTGAGGTTCCACATATGAAGAAGAGGTGTTTTGCAAAGCTATGAATTTGAAAGCAATGCAACCATGAAATTTGGAAACCTGATAATTTGTTATATATAAAGTCTATAGATAAATTCCTCTGTTTCCATTTCTCTTTTGTTTGCTTAAGCATTTCTATATGAAATACTGGGTGGTCAGTGACAGGACAAATTGGAGACATTCCCAGAACTAACTGATTAACCCATTTATTCCATGCACATCGAGTTATTTAAAGTAATGTATTTAACATTTTAGTTTTTGCTTCTGTCCACGGCACAAAAAAAGGTAGTGATATTTTATACATAGGTCACTGGGGAGTTGTGTCTGCATCCAGATTCTAGAATCATTCTGGCAGATTATGTGGATCATTTGACATAAGTGGAATGTCTCAAAGTATATTTTAATGCTTGGTATAACCCAGCACAGTACATCAGTCCTCCATATCTACATATTCTTTATCCATGGATTGAAAGTATTTAACATGTATAAATTTAATATATATAACTTCCAAAAAGCATCCCTTAATTTTGCCATTTTATGCAAGTGTCACCATTTTACTATCCATTCTATTTAATGGGATTTGAACATCCATGGATTTTGGTATCCACAGCGAGTCATGGAACCAAACCCCAGCAGATACCAAGGGCCTACTGTATGATATAGGGCTGCTTTAGAAAATCTAGTTTTACCTCCCTTACAAGTAAAATGTTAACTCAACAATTTTGCAACTAACTCTATATCTATAGGAAGGGTTTGAAATAAAAATGTAAACTGGGGAATAATGTGCATCTTAATAGCACTAAAACTGCCTAGCAATGATAGAATTAAAATAGACCATTTGTAATTAGGCAACAGGTGACAAGTCAGAACAATATAAATTGGAATAAAGCCTATTAATTAATTGTCAATAACTTGGGGAATTGTGAAACTTTTGCCTTGATTAGTTTCCAACTGAATTATTACATTTCTCTCAGATTTATGTTTTAGGGCATTACCGGTAATTAATAATTTGGAACCTTTGTTTCCATATTCTTTAAAACACTGTTTTGTGTAAATCACAGAATTGTGTATTTTTATCTAAAGTTAATGATTCTAATTTGGCCCTCTTTTCTGAGAAGGCAATAAAAGTTTGGAGGGATCCTGCTCTTTTATATTACAAAACCAAAGTTGCTATCTCTTTCTTATGTTTCCTCTGTGATTTCAGCTTCTTTAAAGTAGCATTTTTTAAAATAAGCATGCCTCTAATTACTACTTTGAGAGAATATCATAATAATGATTTAGAGGTGCTTAGAAATGTTGTATTGTCTCCTGGACATGGATAATTTCCTGGGGATTTGTTAACAATGTAGGATTAAGTGTCCAAGAAACTGCAAACTATCTGACTCCCAAGTTAATATGAGTGGTACGTGGTCATTGTTAAAAGTTTACTCAATCTCTACTGAATTACGGTAACTTGATTAACCAATTAAACAGAAATTAAGAAATGATCAACTCTAGAATATGATTTGTGCCTATCAGAATAGTCTTGGCTAATTGGGTGGAGGTATCTCCAAATATCATTTGAACTCATTGTATTAGTTAATCTTAAAAAGGATTTAGATAACAACATTTATTTATAGTACCCTTTCCACCAAAGATTATCGTGATGACTTACATGTGATCTAAACAAGCACTGAAGACAAGGTCAGAGTCACCTCCAAGTATAAAGTTTTCTAAATATTTGTGAATTTTTCAAAGAATTGTATATGATGACAGCTGGGGGGCATAATTCCATGGCCCAGGTAGATTCATAGTGATGCAGGCAGTGCTTTCAATATGCTGGTCCCAAATTGTTCAAGGCTTTAATGGCAATAAGATGCACCCTGAATTGAGCCCAGAAATGCACTGGCAACCAGAGTAGGAGAATGAAACTATGGTGTATTTCTCAAGTTAGTATATAAGCCTTATATACTAACTTGAGCCTTATATACTAACAAGCCTTATATACTAACAAGAAGCATGATGATGACTGAACCATTTGTAAAAGCTTGTGGTGCTTCAGAGATCCAATACTGCTAGAATATCTGACCTATTTATGTCCCCAGAATATCTCTTCAAATTGTTATCTGAACCATTTTGCAAAACCAGTTAAAGAGACAGTGCTAAAATGTTTCTTTTAACACAGGTTAAAAGTGCATCTTTCCAGTTTTAAAACACACAAGACTGGGATGCTAGTGTTTTGTTTTCCCAGCCAATCCACAACATGTAATGGATAAAGCTATATCCATTCACTAACTCTTGGACAACATATGTCTTTTGATGAAGGAGCAGCTATAAAAAAAGGTCATGTTTCTGTCTTGCAAGAGGCAGAAATAAACACAGATTCATTTATATTAATAATACATGTCTACACTGGAATTCTCACATGACATCAAAGCTGTCTATATTAAGCTGCAACGGGGTTGCAGACTGTCAAAAATAGTGTGAATTCAGTCCACTTTTAGGGTTAGGGTTAGTGCTAGGGAATCATGGGAATTGTTATTTTTCTGAGACATTGAACCTTCTTTGTCAGAGAACTCTAGTGCCACAATAAAATTCAGTTCCCATGATTCCCTAACCTTAACCCTAACCCTAAAAGTGGACTGAATTCACACTATTTTTGACAGTCTGCAACCCCCCTAAATTAAGCTTCTGAATTTTTGATTTTTAGACTTTCATTGGAGACCTGAATCTGTTCTTCTTGTACTGTTCTACAGCTTCTCATTTTACAACTAGGTTTTTCTGCAGATGTCATCTCTTACCTAACTAACTTTTCCCCAAAAATTATAATTAAATGTCAAAATATAAATATCTGCCATTCTATGAGATAATGCATATACAAATCAAATCCTGACAGAAGACCAAAAGTTCAAATTGATAAAATCTTAGTGCGTTCTT